TAACCGTACGTGGGGGGTGTACCAATTTAACTTACACCCCCGGGTGTATCCATTTAACTTACACCCCCGGGGTGTACGTTAAGGAGGCCCTTTGATAAATCTTGTATTTGCTATCTTTGTGAGATAGGGCTAAGACTAGCATGTCCGAATGGATGTATAAATTAGTCAAAGTCGCTTATTTTTCAAATCATATAGAGGTTATTTGTTTTTAATTGCATGGTAAGTACAAACAGTATATAAAGGAACTGCTAATTAAGGAAAACCCTTGGATATAGTTATAATTGAATAATCCAATCGCGGTAGTATTTGGCAAGATTAGACAATTGGTACAGTAAAAGCAAATTTATCGTATGGAAAGATTAAGAAAATAAATCAACAAACTCAACAACACCCAAAAAACAACTTGAAAAGCGGATTTTAAGAAAATGTAGTAAGTTGCAGTTGACTAACTTTTGAATGTGTTCCGAATTGTATACAATATTATACTTTAACTGATTAGTATTAGAAATACCCCACTTTATTATTATAACAACAAAAGTATTGCGGTACATTTGTACACGCATCACGGAAGGAGAAGAACGGGGAAAGGTACACAATAGTGTAACAAAAATGGTCGCATTTCCATAAAATTTTCCAGAAAATATAAGTGCATCTTATTGATTTACAGAAAAGATGTTTGTAAGGCGACGAATGGAAACATATCACCGACACACATCGTGCATCAATGATGTAGATGGGCATTTGCTATATGGTAACATATTTTTAATTAAACCGCCATTATGTGTAATCGCACATAACTACTTTATTGTTTGTACTATTTCGTTAATCAATGGTCAAATAAAATAGTTCTGATATACATAAACTTATTTCAAACTTAATACATATGCATAACACATATTAATTCTTATTTACTAAAAAGTATAAAAAGTAGTTTATATTTAGATACAGTTATGTGATAGCAAAGTTAATACTATTAATGTTGATAACATATTATAATCTTGTTATCTGGTTTTGTACTATTCTATTTTGACGTTTATAATAGATATAAATTACAATCTGGTATATGTTAACTCGAATCGACATGCATGCAAGACATTATCTTAGAGAATGCTGTATTAAAACTGATTGCTACGAATCCAAATTGTTATTACTTGTGTTAGACTATTAGTTACTCTAGCCAGCTATATTTATTTATGCAAATGCAGACGTCTGAGACATCGATGTTAATATCAGATCTTGCCATAAATTTTGCGGCACTTAAATGCATTTGTTGTACAATCAGCCCGTGCAATATCACAAATACTAGTACTACAGTATCAACAAAGACACATACATGCGTTGATTGGATCTCTTTGTTCGAATACAACCAGCCCAACCTATATTAATATCACCCATGCTTAATAACTCTTGCTTATTGTTCGCATCGATTTTGCTTCTTGTCTTCCATAATAGATAGCTCTTCCATAACGGTTAAACTTTCTTTGAATAAAATTAATTCTACATTGATGTTGTGTTAAAGTAGTTGTTCAAATTAATAAAGAAACAAAAGCCGTGAAATTGAACGATAAAAAAGCAATTAGTTAAATTACAAATGCCTATCAATTAACTTTTTTCGGCTTTATCATTGTCTTGAATGATGACTTTGGATTTCGCTACTTACCAGCCCCAGTTGAATGGAATTGTAACAATGAGTCCTGTTGCGTCTATTAATACAATGTGATATTGTAGCTGTGTTCATGGGAAAAACATGGGTTGATCGAATAACAATGAACCAAATAAGACTTATCAGGTGATTTAGGGAATGTAACATCGATTGATGCAATCAAATTAAATCATATTATTAAAAAAATGGCCATCTTTACTAAAAAAATTATCCTAAAACCCAAAGTTGGGAAAAATAAAGATGTAAACAAATTGACCCGAACCAACGAAAGAAGAAAGATACTGCGAATATAAAAATAGGAAGCAATTACTAAAATTAATACCAACTTTGCTGCACGTTCATATACAATGGGACTGTTGATTTTTCTGTTGTACTTCATATTTCAAACCAATTAACATAATGCGACGGTTTAAAGGAAGCACCACATCCGGTGCAAGCGCTATGTATACTCTTTGACTGAATTGAATGAGCAAAACGCCTACATTGTTATTGGTTCCTTTGTGTGCATAATTTCGCATGAATGTGAATTTTCTAATTACGGCGTATTATAAAGAAATTAATATTATTAATAGTTAAAAAAATATATTTAAAACCTAAACGCCAATTAGATGGGATAGTATATCCAACAAAGAAAACTAAGCTTGGGTATTGAGTTTTTTACATATTTAAGAACAGAATCCTACCCGGGTCATCAATCATCAATCTAAGCTTTACGCCTAGATATTGAAGATTTTCTGACATCGCTTTATTTTGACTATAGTATAATGACTTTGACCAACTCTACAAACCCATCTTTTGCTACTACTGATTCGACCCTCTCAATCACGTCTCTTATCGACTCTGCTGCTGAGAATTTGACGAGTTTTGAATACAATATTTTATGTCATCCCCCTTACTCTCCCGCGGTTTCTCTTGACATTCTTTTCAACTCGATGCGAAAAAACGGCTCACCGTCACCACGTCCAATGAATTCGTGGATTATATTTCGTAGAAATTTTGTAAAGCAGTTATACTTTCAGCATCCGCATCACAAGTATTCAATGGAAGAACACTCGGCGCGTGCGAGCCAGTCGTGGAGACAACAACCAGAGCTTGTTAAACAATATTTCGATGCACTTTCCAAATTGTCTCTGAATATTCATAAACATTTCTATCCGGATCATAACAATAGTCGCCGAAAAGCTTGTCGAGTTGCGGACGGGAAAAAAACATTTATATTTAAAGCAGCGAATATGGATAAGATTATGCGACAAAAACCAAAAACGAACAAGATTAACAAAAAGCGAAAGACGAATGCCGGGCAGAAACGCAATGTTACTTGCGGAGAGAATGGCCAAAACGTGCAAGGCCCAAGTATCAGTCAACAGCAATGCGAGTTCCGGAATGAAGGTGCCAATGTTCTTGCTGATAATCTAAACTTCATAAACACCAATTATCCTCTCGACTACCCGCCTTTATTGTCTTGCAATTGCATTGGAGGTGATTTAATCATTACGAGCATTGAAAATTGTTGAATAGTACAAATCGTTTTTATGTTTAAACTATCTTTTAACAAATGTTATATTATACATAGACTGCTTTAGTCACATATATCATAGTTTTATATACGTAAAAAGAAAGAAAGTAAGGGCAGGCACTTTTTATTTTCTTTTCTTGTAAAAATGGACAATTTTTTTTCTCAATTTACTTAGAACGAGGAATAAAATATTACGAGAGTATATCGGGTAAACAAACCCCCTACTTATGTATGGAATACCACAAATATAGAAGTTTATTAGGTAATTCATGTAACGCAACAACGTGGTTGTTAAACCCCCCTGAAAAAAAAACCTGCTCGGACTCACAGACTCCGTTGTCGTAATATTAGATATGCTTAATTTTAAAAACCCGAAAATCACATAAACAATCTTATAATGTTAAACCGACAAATCGTAAGTAATCGACAGCAGACGAACATTTATAATTAACCCCCAACTCCGAGTTATAAATATCTCATTGATGTTTCGCAAACTAACACAATGAATATCTCATTGATGTTTCACAAACTAACACAATGAATATCTCATTGATGTTTCACAAACTAAACAATGAGTCCTGTACTATGGGATTGCATCTCATCGGCAAAGAAACTGAACGAATTCATTCATGCATAGATTAATTAGAGTAACTTACTGAAACGTGGCCACAGTCTTTTTATTATTATCGTTTATAAAGAAATCTGCACGCCTAGTTATACTCTCCCCCCCCCCCCCAGTGAGCAAATTATTTCAATGGGTTGTCGCTGCATTCAATAGCATTTTCGAATATTAGTAAGCAAAAACCCAGATTGGCAGTTTGTAGTTGCATTTAAAGTTTTCTCTCTTTCTCTTATTTATTCTGCCAAGGTGAGATGCAAAGAAAACTATTGGTACTGCTATAAATAATCACTTTCATGGAACAGCATTTTCGAGGGGGATGGGCGGCTGCTGAATCTAAAACGTTACGAATTTAAAGTTTCTGTGGGAAAACCTAAATTTTAAACATAATGTCGGGTGAGTTAATCACACGGGAAGAGCTAATCTATTAATATGATCGATCATATATCACGTGAAATTGAATAAAATTTTTCCATGCGAGATGTCATAATAAAAGGTCAACGCTCGTGGAATGCACAATATACGCCATGCGTAACAATACAAACGATGTGATCAAATAGACCCCTTATAGCGTTCGACGTTTCATTATAACGCTGAATAAAGGATACGAGTTCCAAAAAGAGAACAGTCTATTTTTAACAAACGACAATGTTAATGAATGAATGTAAACAACAAACCAGTTGCTGTTGTATATATTTATTTATAAATTGAGTTGAATAAACTATCAAAAGTAAAAGATCTACCTAAATTCTCTAATACTAATAAAAATCCCTCCCGAAATATTCCGATGAACCCGTCAAAGTCCATTGTACACATCAAACGTCGTCGGAGTGTGAATTGATGGTTCGAAAGATAAATGGTTGAGAATTTGACCAGAAGGTTGAGTTGACATGATACCAAAGTTTGTGCCAATTTCGTTGTCATCGCCGTATGTGAAATTTTCTTGACCCATGATTTGATTCAAGTAGTTGGGGTTAGGGTTATAAAGATTAATATCAATAATTTGTGACAATGTGTCGATAATGTTCAAGTGTTCAGGTGTGGAATCGGCAATGTCCGAGTCAGTGAAAAAACCAGGGTTGTTTACGTCATAGTCATTGAGCGAAACACTGGAAAGATGTCCATTATCGTGTACGTTGTTTACACCAGCAATATTGTTGGCGTTTACTTGCACGCTATTACGTTGTTCGTCATTTAACCGAACGCGCATTTCGTCCATTTCCTCTGTGTTCTCGTCATTATCTCTTCTGTTCCTTCGATTTCTCTCATTTGCACTTCTACCACGTCTCATAATTTGTTCCTCACTTATCACTCTGAAAACAAACCTTCCGTTATTACTGTTCCTCCTTGGATGATAAATATAATTAGGGTAAACATCTTCATGGAGTTTTTTAGCCATTTTTGAAAGTACGGTAAAGAATTGTTTGACTTCCTCCGACTGATTTGCCCAATCAGAACTAGCTAGCTTAGACACTTTCTCTATAGTTGATGGTTGATCAGGGTGAATAACACGTAACTTGTTTTTGTAATCTGTTCTGAATATCAACCAACTATTCCTGGGACGAGGTGGATAAGAGTTCCTTCTTGCACGGTTTGTGCGTGTTGGATCGAGAAGAGTATTGAGCGATGCGGTAAGAGAATATGGGGGTTTAAGCAAGAGAAGATATTCGGCATGAGTAAGAATGTCTGTAAATCTGTTTATGAATGCGTCAGAATCAAAGTTAGCGGTGGTGGTGGTACTGCTAGTAGCAGCGATGGCGGCATTAAAACCAGTAGTAGCATTGACAGCGTTAGTAATAGTATCGATGGTGCGTTCTGGAGAGAGTGGCAGAGGTGTTGTTGAATTAATTGGAAGAATTGAGGTATTCATGACTGATTGAAAAGGGGCTTGTGAGTTTATAAAAAGAGATTTATGGTTGTGGACGTGTATAAAATTCAGATTCACACAATAGTGTGCGTGTGTGCACGTTGTGTTGTTCTTTGCAGGTTGACATTTTGGTTCAGCCGTTACAGAGGGGTGTATTTATATGTTAAACGCGATATGGATTAAATTCCGTATAATAATAATAAATGCTATCCACTAAATATTGTGGGTATGTTTATTGGTGTTGCAGCTGTTGACTGCGGCAGCAAGCAAAAATGGGAATACAAAAAGTCATTCTATTTCTATATTTGTTGTGCAGTGTGCCCAACATATAAATTACCAGATAGATTTTGGTCTTCTTGTCTTTACACTTTTAACTTGTTACTGATTGCTTTTACACAATAGTGCCGTTTTATTTCAAATAAAAGTGTCAGTATTTTCAATACATAACCTAGTTAGATAGTGTCTTTGTTCGTTCTTGTCATATACCACACAGTCAGCGCAAGCAATATTGCAGATTATTATAAAGAACCCTTGCGTAAATAAACCAACCACTCAAGAAAAGAGACGATGCATCTGTCTTTATAAATTAATGCGTTAAGTTTTGGGAAAAAAAACCAGCTCTCAATGGCCTTGACCAACACAAACAATGCTGTAGTACGATTCAACTCATGACATTATAATGAAAAATTTTGCTGATAATAGAAATAACCCATATGCATGAGTCGAGTATGTATAGAATTTTTCTCAATTGTCTCAGTGCTCGCTTTTTCGCTGCTTTGTTCCGTGCAGATTTTTTAGGGGGTTGGAGGTGGGGCAAAGGAATATGACTAATATTTATCGAGCATTATTCTAGAATGTATATCAATAATTGCCTATACGGCGGAGAGCTCCCCCGAAAAGACAAATCAACACTCGATGCTTCTTGAGATGACGTTATTTAATAAAGTGTTTTGCCATACCAAGCTAAAATGGCTGCATGATTATGCATACGAATTTTCTACTGCTTCGAATCGTGCACGCCGCTGCGAAAGAACTTGGCAACCGTATAGTTGATTGTTATATTGTATGTGTACGATCCATTCATTTTTCGTTTCTGGTGAAACGGAAAATAATAAGAATAGTAATGCTTTAAATAGAGGAGCTGGTTACATGTTTGACTGACACACACATCAATTGTGAGTGCATAAATGAACAATATATACCAGATTTGGTCGATCATATAAGACACTAACAACAATAACTCTACCTAGCAATCTTATAAGTTGTATATCAACGCATTATTAATTAACAGATCCCATGTCCAAACGTGACAAGTCAGTCTTTTCTTTCTCCCACAAATAAAGTATTGCACGACATGCTTGCAAACTCTTTTGATTTGATATCAACAATAAAGATTCGCATTATTGACTTTTGGGGTATGTTTCATGCCTGCATTGAAATCCGTTCACATGACCGTTATACGTCAATTCTGATTTGTTCTTTGATTCTATTTATACTGTAGTTGCTGCTTTTTGCTAAATTTATTTGTGTGTACAGTATTACATAGTTCTGTGAATATGAAAAAAGGCGCTACCGAGCTGTGAAATAAATCCCATTGTAAACTATGTTGTCTCACGTTTTACACTTCTCATGTAATGCCAAGAAATTGCCCTACTCAACGAATATTCGGAACACAATTTAGAATCGCAGAATTACCAATAGGATCTTAATTTTGTAATCGGGTTTTTAATGTATTGTTTCGAGGTTCGATCCCCATTACACCCAACTTACTCTAGTTCGGAATATGCGTTTCCGTTCCATTATTACCAATCAGTAAATGTGTGATGTGTGGACAAGTGATGGGTGGTGATGTTCCACGCATCTGTATCGTCAATCAAACTCTAACTAATAATAACTCGAACAATCAAAGTACATATTTATATTAACCATATGCTATTATTATTGTTTATAAATATTCTTGTACAAATATATTTATCGGCAATTAATTTTGCTTGCCTTATCCGCTGCTTAATCCTGTGCTCGATTTCTTATCATGTTGTAATTGGTAACACTCTGCTTGTCTTACTGATAGTCGATAACATACATTACGGTACGGTAAGTATAAATACACACACATCTGGATTTCCCAAGTTTCTTTACCTCTAGGCAAGAGAATATAATACGTCGTTTGTTCTTTGCCATTTTTACGAACACAAGAGGTGCTCTTTATCTTTTACGAAATAATCAAACTCGATTAATCAGAACCGAACGGAACCAAATCAAAAAAAGTTAACGCTTACAAATTATAAAAATGTTCACCGAAATCAAGAACTACTTTGCATTCAAGACCTATCAATCTGAAGTTACGACGTCGACAAAAGCCCTTGACCCATGGGAGAGAGCATTATTTGGTAAGAAACGACACTTTACATAGTCGGTCTGTTTGTCCGTTCGTCATCAATTAATTACTTACTAATTGCAATTTTTCTCCATATATTATAGACTCTTTAGTAATCGTAAGCATTACTCTATTGACGTATACGACGTTTGCAACACTCCCAGACCAAATGCTTTCGGCAAAGTTTGACGATCTCAATGCATTACACTTTTAAGTGTAAAGAAACGAATAATGGATACTCATTCGACAACTTGTTACTGTATTCGTAATTCACGACTTTAAATCCTCAACACCCACTTTTTTTTTCTTCTCATGACGATATTTTCAATTTTATTGAATAATGGATAACGAATCCACCCAATTTATAAAGAAAGAAAAGGATCGGAGAAACAGCAGTCTATACAAAATTACATTGAAAGTAATGGATAAAGGAGGAGAGCATCGAAAGGATGATGAGAAAAAAAAAAAGGTGTGTCCAATATACGAATAAGAAAAACATTAATGAGAGAAAGTAATTAATTAATTTACAAATTCAATTTGAATGATTTAAGATAAAAATTTAGAGCAATAGAAAGAAAAAAAAAGACAACGATTAGTCATAGAACAATTAATTGATTGCGATGGAAAAGTTTTCTTTTTTTTGTTTGTAATTCTCATTCAATGTCTTGTACGATTGGACAAAAAACGCTGCAATAGGGCTGTTTTCTCCATGCGTTTTGAGAAATTTTCAGTTTTTCGATTATGCAGTGTGAGTTTTTAGAATACAAAATATGTTTCAAAACTATTTGAACCATTTAGAGAAACCTTGATTTGAAATAAATTTATTGTAATTGCCGTTTATGACAATCATGTTGTGAAACAATGTGTTGCGGGTGCTATTTATAAAGTCTTTGTCACACATTTTGACCAATCCGATGCATCTCAGGAGGTGAGAAATTCTATTATTAATACAATTTCCAATGTGTGTTAAACCAGAGTTTCAGGAAAAAACGCAAGAGTATTTACTATTGTGTGACAAATAAATTCTGATATTATTCATGATTATGCAAAATAGTCAAATAAGTTTTTCGTTTTCTAAGCTGCAAGGATTTATTTAATGTTCGGGCATAAAGGATAGGGGATAAGGGATAAGGGATAAGGGATAAGAATCAAGGGCTCCTACGGCGTTCTTTGTCACAAGATTAAGATGCTGTAATACTGATAACGCAGCATAAAAGTGTAAATTATTTATATCTGAAACAGTGAAAAAGGTTCAAGTTTTTATTGGCTAATGTGACATGACTTTTGGTATACGACATATAATGGGTTTCAATAATACAGGCACAATTTGAACCTCCGTTGTTTCTACATTTAGGGATTGAGCAGCACAAGGAATTGTGAACATAATGCCGTAAACTATCAACTTGGTTTGTGCGTATTGTGTAATCCAGTTTTGACATTTCGGTGACATAGGAATTTGAAGCTTTAGTTTCTTACCTTTGTTATTTTGATAAAGCTTTTGTTATTCATATCACATCCATCGTTGTTTGAGTCAAATTTATTTTTAGAACTTATTTTCCCATTGTTTCTTGTAAAGTTTCTATAACTATGTTCAAAACGGATCACATAAAGCAGGGCTGAAGAAACCTTCTTTTTTTGGTTGCTGCATTAGAACGCCCTTCTGAGATGCGGTAACAGATAAGGAAGCGCTTAATTGTGATGCAGATTTATAAACCATGTTCGTAATTAGCCAAGAGCTTGTACTCAACATAATTGCAAGCAAGTTAATGAATTCATTCTTAATCGACTGCTTTCAATTTCGTTGTCCGTAATTTGTGATACTATATGATTGTTACAAGTTTCATTTAAACAGACTTGCATATCTTCTGTAACTTATCACTGCATGCTTCAGGAATGGTCTCATCAAATAAAGACAAGACATTTTCTCCCCTCAAATAGGCCATTTGAAAAAATTTTTCAGATAACCGGATCACCTAGATTTTATCATGGGTAATACAGATTTAGTCGTCCACATGCAATAAATGCAGTGCGCCGGGTTGTGCATTGCATATACTGTATAACTGTATGTACAGTATACATAGTTCACTCACTAGTAGCGTTAGATCCTCACTTGTACTCATGTTCCATCCTCCCTTTCCCCTTCTTCCCCCTATTGCTATACAGCATGCGAAAATACTTCGTAGCGAACAGGGATTAACTTGATATAGAAAAATAAACATACACAGTGTGTCAGATCCTATGAAAATTGCTTTTTATTGTTTGTTACATAAATAAGGGTTAGGCAAGGCTTATGTCAAGACGCAGGCATGACTGGGAATTACACACGCCTAGAGAATGGTGGCTAACAATCTTTTTCTAACTGATATGAGAGAGTCTATTAATAACTTCTAAACGTCTATATGCTTCTTTTCGCAGGATATATGAAGCTGATAATTGAACGTTAATATGCTGACCCGATGTGTAATCGAGTGGTGAGCTGCAGACATACGTCATTAGCCAACGGTGTGTGACAAGGACGAAAATTAATAAAATCTTTTGACGTTTATCTCCCTATCTTGTTGTCGCACACAACTGTAATTGGTTTGTCTGGCGTTGCTCACTAATCTTTGCATTGCTCACTAATCTT